CGGAGGGAGCGGACGTATTGGACGAAGCGGTCCGTGGGACCGGTCTGGCGGAGGTGGCAGAATTGTTCAAGGTAGTCGTCAATGGTTTTCTGGGAGCGGAAGGTGGTAGTGAGGAGGTTGGCCCATTGGAGGAAGGTGTGACGTGGTCCTCCGGAGGCTCGGCAAGTTGCTAACTTCAGCCATCCACCATTTGGCTGCATTGCCGAGGAGGCAAGAGGTGGCAATGGGGAGCCAGTGGGCAAGGGGCATGTGGTGGAGGTGAAAAGAGTTATGAAGCTGGGTTAGGAAGAGGAAAACGTCCTCGTGGGGGAGGCCGGAGAAGGACATGATTTCGCCAGATCAGAAGGAACGGGGGATTTCCCCGTCGCGGTGAACGATTATCGGGGTTGGTGTCGTAGCAGGTGTGGTCGATTTGGCTGTTGTCCTCAAGGAGGTAGTTGGGGGGGAGTTGTGGCATTGCGGGGTAAACCCCGGAGGTGGCTTGGGAATAGGTGGGACGGATGGTGGGGATGGCGGAGGTGGTCATGATGGGTCGGGAGAGGGTTTGGGAGTGCGGGGGGGGGAGAGGGGTGACGTGGATGGGCGAGGAATGAGGCGGTGTGCTGGATGCGCCGGATGGGGGAGGAGGTGGAGGGAACGGGACGATGGTGGAGGTTGATGGGTTGGTGGATGTGGTGGTAGAGGTGGTAGGAGTGGAGGAGGTCGGCGGGGGGGTGTTGCTGGAGGCGGCTGTGGAGGAGGGAGTGGTTTGCGCTGTGGAGGATGGAGTGGTTTGCGCTGTGGAGGAGGGAGTGGTTTGCGCGGTGGTGACGACCATGATGGAGGGGATGGTCCCTTCGATCATGGTGACGCGGTCGCATATGGACGACATGTTGGCCTTTATGTCGTCAAGAGAGGCGGTGACGAAGGTTCGGAGGGTGTTGAGTGCGTGGAGGATGGCGGAGACGTGGGGGGTGGCGGTGTTTGCTGGTGGTTGTTCGCCTGCAAGGTTGCGGGCGATGCTATCGACTGAGTCGGTGCGGATGTCAGACATGTTGATGGAGGATGCGGCCATGTCGGGGGAAGAGGGGGTGGAGGACGTGGCCTGAACGGGTGTGGAGGATGCAGCAGCAGCGGTGGCGGCGGCAGCAGTGGCGGCGGCGGCGGCGGCACGTTGGGAGTTCTTGGTTTGGCGTGGTGGCATGTGGAGGGTGGGGGTGGAATCCCTTATTTATTTATCAATAAATTCAAAAATAAAGATAATCGCCAAGTTTTTTTTTGTTTTTTTTTTTCAAAAAATAAACGCTGAACAAAAAGAGATAATTAATTTTGAAAAAATAAATTCTGATTTAGATTTAAATTTATTTACAAGAAAACGTGAAATTTCGAAAGAAAATATTTTTGAATTACGGGGAAAAAAAAATCTGAAAAGAATTAGGAAGAGGAAATTTTTTAAATATTTGGCAAGAATTTTTCAAAGGAAAATGTCGACATTTCAGAAAAAGGATAATTAATTT